TCCTGAAATATAACCAATAGTTCTGTTTTCACAAGCTCTTTAATTTGGCATTAGCTGCCTTGGATCTTGCTCTCAAGAAAGTTGGGATATATCTGTTATCCTGCCTGTAAGTCTAGCCAGCCAAACATCAAGAAAAGTGAAAGCAGCCTTGAACTGGGAGAAACTGGACAATGAACGAGTTAGCCCAATTTTTTTAAAAATGATCCAGTTAGGGATATTTAAATGCAGTTTTCCAGTTTCATTTTATAATTTCCTAAAAGCTGGAGAAGGGTCATTTTCAGCAACCATATTCCACTGCAAAATCATCCTGAACCATCATCCATTCTTATAAGCATTAGTGGCCTCTGATGACTTGTTAGATTTTGCATTCCACAGTAAGGCTGCCTGGCAAATTGGAGAAGGGGTTTAACATTGTCGTAACCAGGGCTATTGTGAGATCATTCATTACATATGTTGCCTTTATCCATAGCAGTCTTTTTCAATCCCTAGCCTTACTTCAGACAAAAGGCTCATCGTGCTGCGTATCCAAAGACATTCTGCAGCCATGTCACCTTTTTCTCCTGAACAGTTTTGTTTTTGGAGAAACAAAAAAGTGGGAAATCAAGAGTTACAAGTGAGAGATGATGTTGTCTGGGGGAGGGGGGAAGCGTCATATAACTGTGGTGTTATGTCCGATAGCATTATAAAGGACATCCTTCTATTTCTCATTCCTCTTCACACATTGTCTTTTCTTGCTGCTTTTATCATGCCAGGCTCATGAAGCAGGATTTTTGGAGAGAAGTGTCAATGCTTGGTAGCAGACTGCCAACAGGAATGGCCCTTACTCAACGTTACTGAAGCGATTCAACCTGGGCAAATTTGACAGCTCCTATCCTACATGGTTTGGGGTATTTTCTCCAGTTACATCCCAGTTCCTGAGTCCAAAAGATGATCTTTCCCTCTCCTCCTTTCTGAACTGTTTCAGACTTTTCCTTAACAAAGTATGACAGACACTGGCAGACAATTCCCCTGCGTTGTGGGAAGGGTTCCGTCATAAATTATACCCACTGTTCATGGGGGGTATAATTTACCTATTAATTTCATAGGTAAGGAGTACTCAAGAGATAGTTTTGTTAGTTCCTTCCTCATAAATATTGCCTAATGCAGAGCCCTTGTTCTTGTTAACTGTCTTTAAGTTAACATTGACTTATAGCAACTCCATGAACAAAATACCTCCAAGTCATCCTATTATAAACAGCCCTGTTTAGGTCTTGCAGACTCAAGATCATGGCTTCCTTGATTGAGTCTATCCATCAGTGTATCTTCTTTTCCTACTACCTTCTACCTTACTAAGCATTACTGTCTGTGACGGCGCGTCTGGCCCCACTTGTATGTGAATGTACAGTTGAATTGTTTGGTTATCTATAGCTGTCAATCAATGTTGTTTTGCACCGGTTAAATGCCCCCCCCCCCCAGCCCAATTGTTTGGCTCCGTCCCTTCCTGGGGAAGAGGGCCATGCTTTCTTTTTCATTCCACCATCAACAGCTCAACAGATGGACACAAGAAAGGCCTGGCTCTAAGCCCTAGTCAAGTAATCTCTTATCACCAATTCTTAAGTTTGTACTCTTAAGATTCATGCTTCATGCCCAGTTCACCCTGGATGACGTTGAGGAATCTTAAGCGCCTTCAAACCAGTCCTTTGGCATCAAGAGGAAGACTTTGTGCCTTCAATATAGGTCATTGGACTGGGATTGTGAATGTTCCGACTTTCACAGCCATTGAGAAAGAGGGAACTTGGAAAGCTTCTCAGCTGGAAAACTCCTTGGACCCAAGACTACAAAGACTGTAATGTATATTTTCTTTACCCCCTTTGAAACATCAAGTTTAATGCCTGAAGGATAACTCATTGTGAACAATAAAGCCTATTTCGAGTTATCTATAGTGTCTTGATCCTTGAGAGTTCCAGTTCTCTAAAGGAGGCCAAGAAGCAATCCCCTGGGAATGCCTTTTCAAGATATGTCAAAATTACAACAGTCTCAATTTAGCCATCTTGGCTTCTAGGGAGAGAGTTCGGGCTTAATTTGTTCTAGGACCCATTAATTTGTCTTTAGACATCCACAGTATCTGCAGAACGGTTCTCCAGCGCCACATTTCAAATTAGTTGATTTTCTTCCTATTAGCTTCCTCACTGTCCAGCTTTCAGAATCAGAAACAGGAAATACAATGGCTTTAGTACTCTAAGTCCCAGTCTTCTTCTGATTTCTTGACTTCAGTCCCCATTTCAATTTATGACTGAAGCAAGGTAAGTAAAATCTTGAACTATTTCTATGTTAAATATATGCAAATTATTGGCAGTCATTTTTGTTGCGCAGAAGCAGATTTTAGCCAAGTCCCATGCAAACGACACACAAGCAAGCGGAAAAAGGAAAACTGTACTCTTATCAGCAGAGGCATAAACTTGCAGTGTTGCATACAAAATCAAACAGTGCAACAAACCTACATAGTCCTTGTGAGTAACACAGAATAAGGCTTCATCTTCATTCAAATGAGAGAGCAAACCATAAACCTTGAGTAAATAGCTATTCCACCATAGCAAAGAGCATCGCTGTTTAGCATAGCAGCATTACAGCATATTGCTTCTCTTCCTCAGAGTTGCGTATTGCTTCTTCAAACTGAATTCTAAAATCCATACAGTTAAACTCCACCAGGTGTGGCCCAAACATGCTGGCTGACCTACATTACTAGCTGCACATAATAATTAACATCATAATGTTTTCTTTAACACACACTTGATCCTGTTACGACTTACTGTAACAATTTTTGTTTTCTTAAAGTTTAATATTAAACCTGCCCTTTCTTCCATTGACTTCAAAATATTTACTATTTTCACCTGCATATCTTAAATTACTGAAGTGTCTTTCTCCAATTTTGCACATTCCTTCCTCCAAGTCTAATCCTACTTTCCATATCATCAGTTCAGTGTGTATGTTAAACTGATAAGGTAATAAAATGCAGTCTTGCTTGACGCACTTGCCACTCTGAAACCATTTCATTTTACCATATTCTGTCCTGTTGTCCTAAGTACAGGTTACACATTAAGACAATCCAATGTTATGACATCTCAATTGTTTTAAAAATGATTAATAGTTTCATGATCAATCAAAGGTTTTGCTAGATTTGTAGTGATTTCCTGTGTGTTAGTTCTATTTTGTATGTGTTAGTTCTATGATCATGCAGATGATTATAATGTGATTCTTTAGTGCCTCTTCCTTTCCTTTGCTATAATACCTGTCATTTATTTTTGTAGAACTTTATACATCACATTAGTTACATGGTAAATGAATGCAATAATGATGATGATGATGATGATGATGATGATGACAAAGAGTGAATACCGTAAAAACACAGAGCAGGAGAGAAAACCGGTGAAAGAAGGCTCTCCATGGACAGTTCCTGGGAAAAATTGAGAGCCAAATTGACAAAGAAAAAACATGGCTGTGGCTCACAAATGGAACTCTAAAAAGGAGACAGAGGGCCTGATTCTGGCAGCCAAAGAACAAGCTATTAGAACCAATGCCATCAAAGCCAGAATTGAAAAGTCAATGACAGATCCCAAATGCAGACTCTGCAAGGAAGCAGATGAAACAATAGATCACATCCTCAGCTGCTGCAAGAAGATCGCGCAGACAGACTACAAGGAGAGGCATAACACCATTGCTCAGATGATTCATTGGAACTTGTGCCACAAATACCATCTGCCTGCGACAAAGAACTGGTGGGATCACAAGCCGGAAAAAGTTACAGAGAATGAACACATCAAGCTACTCTGGGACTTCTGAATTCAGACAGAGTTTTGGAGCACGATACTCCTGACCTCACAATCGTGTTAAAAAACAAAGTATGGATTGTCGATGTTGCAATCCCAGGTGACAGCAGGACTGAAGAGAAACAACTGGAAAAGCGGGCCAAATGCACGGCATAAAATGATGAAACACTGGATGAGATAGCAATGAAAAGGTACATTTGTGAGGGCGGAGCTCATACAGTAGAATTAGACTTTCAATAAGGTGTGGGAAAGTGCAATATGAGGGAAACAGTGTAGGTGAAACAACAGGACTGGAATATATGGTCACTCTCCAAAGGCACATCAGAAAAGCCAGGTCTTTAGATCTTTCTTAAAGGCTGGTAGGGTGGGAGTTTGCCTAATCTCACCAGGTAGTGAATTCCATAGCCGGGAGGCCACAGCGGAGAAGGCTCTCTCCCTCGTTCCCACAAGTCGTGCCTGTGATGGAGGAAGAGGCGAAAGGAGGGCCTCCCCCAAGGATCGGAGGGAACGTGCAGGTTTGTGGAAGGAGATGCGGTCACGAAGGTAGGCAGGTCCCAAACCATTTAGGGCTTTATAGGTGATAACCTGCACCTTGAATTGGGACCGGAAAATGAATGGCAGCCAATGGAGCTGCTTAAACAGGAGGGTTGACCGCTCCCTGTAGTCCTGTGGTTACTGCAATCCCTAATATCTCCTTTCTTGGGAGACAGAATGTATATTGAATGTTTCCAATCCATGGGCCATTGTTTAGTTTTTCCATATTTACAGGTTTTAGTTAGAAACAGTTCTATTGACATGCAATCTGTTCTTGGCGATATCTTTCTCCCAAGTGCTCTGGCTGCAGTTTCCACTTCTCCTTCTAAAATTAGAGGCTCATCTTCCAATGTTTTTTTTTTCTCTTTAATGAATTTGTCATCCATGTTTTGTAGGTTGAATTGTAGACTATAGGAGCCCAAATACCCAAACTCCAGCTTTGGACTTCTACTCCCAGAAGCCTCAGCTGCGTCGGTCAAGTATTTAGGGATCATGGGAGTTGAAGTCCAAAACACTCAGAGGACGAGTTTGGGAAATACTGCGCCCTGATTGGCTACCCACGCACCTCGTGACCAAACAGCGAGGGAAACGTCGCGTGAGGGAGCGCGTGCGCATTAAGACCTCCGGCTCGAGAGGGAGATACGATTCCTGTGACCCGGACGTGGAAATGACGCAGCAGCAGGGAACGCGTTCCTTTCCGGTCGGGCGGCGTGCTCTGGGCAGGGAGCGAATCCGCTGCCGAGATGAGTGTCCCGGCTTTTATCGACATCACGGAGGAAGACCAGGTGGGGAGGCGAGGCGGTGGTGTTCCCGCTCAGGCTGACCTTCCAGGGGAGGCCCATGGGCCGCGGCAGGCCCCTCAGCAGCCCCGCCTGCCTGCCTGCCTGCCTTCGCTCCCAGCGGGGCCCTCGCGAGTCCCTTTCCCTGCGGCGGCTGGCATAGGCCCTTCCCTTCCCAGCCCCACCTCACCCAGGTATGGGCTAACTTCGGCCCTCCAGGTGCTTTGAACTTCAACTCCCACAATTCCGAACAGGCTGCTAGGAATTGTGGGGGTTGAAGTCAAAACACCTGGAGGGCCCAAGTTGGCCCATTCTTGGCCCAATCCCAGTGCAATGCCATCACCTGCAACAGAGTTTCCCAACCCTTTGGCTCTCCAGATGTTTGGACTTAGCCTCCCAGAAGTCATGACAAGGTGTGCGTCCTCAATGTTGAAGTAATGCAATTGGACATCCCTTGACCTGCCCTGGCTCATTGCTGTGGAGTCCTGGGAATTGCATTGTTGAGGCCCCAGCACCTTTTGGCAGAAAAGGCTAAGGACCCCATAAAACTTTTAACTCCTGTGATTCTATAGCATTGGGCCATGGCAGTTAAAGGAGCGTCAAGCTGCATTAATCCTAAAGTGTAGATCCACCTGTTGCAAAATGTGTGGAGCTTCCAGGAGATATAGCTTAAAACACCTGGAGGAACAAAGTTTGGGAACAGCTGATCTGTACGGAAGATGGACAGTAATCTATGAAAAAGTTCTTGTTGGGGTGATATACGGGCGTCCCAAGGAGAAGCAATAGAGTTTAATAGAAGGCTGTTACAGGCTGAGTGTCCCTTGTCCAAAATGCCTGGGCCAGATGTAGTCTGCAGTGATAGTATGATAGCTGGGTCCAGAAGCTCCGAGCGTTACGGAGATGCCACAAAGGCGGCTGTGAATAAGGGAAGAGAGGGAGCAGAGTGAGAGCAGGAAGAGCGAAGGAAGGATAGAAAGGAGGGGATGCTTAGGGTAAGGGTTAGGGCAAGGGTTTGGGTAAGGGTAAGGGGTTAGGCTTAGGCTTATGGTACGGTTCTGGGTTAGGGTTAGGGTTTCACCATTAAAGAACTCTTACATTCCTTCTATATCTGTCTCCGGCCTGGCTTACATTAGCTAAGTCTCTCTTGTGCAAACAGCGCTCCCGAAGGAGCGATGCAGCATCTCTGTAACGCTTGGATCTTCTGGACCCAGCTATCATACTATTACTTAGTCTGCATTTCATTTTTTCTCTAGGTCATGGAATATTTTCATATATATATACGGTAATAAGATGTCCAAACGTGAGATTCCTTTATGTTGACATACACCTTATGCCAATGGTTCTCAACCTGTGGGTCTCCAGGTGTTTTGGCTTACAGCTCCCAGAAATCCCAGGCAGTTAACCAGCTGTTAGGATTTCTAGGAGTTGAAGGCCAAAACATGGGGAACCACAGGTTGAGAACCACAGCCATATGCTTATAGTATGACAAAGGTGTCACTATCATAGCAAGGCATATGGACAATTTGGGGGCTTCTGAATAATTCTAGATCCTGAATAAGGGATGCTCAGTCTGCACTGTAGATTAGTCTGACCCATCAGGGAACCTTTCTCCCTACTTGTAGTTATAAGCAGTTCCTTGCATTGTAAAGAAGAAGAATCAGCAAAGTCTTAATTATAGCTTTGTCATATAATTATGAACAGATTGATTAGGGCTTTTCTGTAGGATCTGTGTGCACACATATCCTTTGGGGTTGTCAGGTTCATGGTGAGGACCTTAATAAGAATACTGTCACAAATGGGGTTTAGAAATATTTGGTTAGATTACATGCTCCTTTGCATTAAAATAGTGTCTAAATTCCAATTATATTGAAATTATGTATGCTGTCATAAATAACACATTGTGACCATCACTGCTAAGTTGTTGGATGTAAACTCCTTGCAACATTCATAAATAACTTTTAGGGGTGTTTTTTTGTTTGCTTGATTTTTGTAAGGCTGCAGAACTTAGGGCTTACCTGAAATCCAAGGGAGCAGAAATTTCTGAAGAGAATTCTGAAGGTGGACTTCATATTGACTTAGCCCAGATCATAGAAGCATGTGATGTGTGCTTGAGAGATGACGATAAAGGTTTGTATCATATTTTTAGGTAATTTTTGATGAGATGCTTGGATTGATAAGGATATGGGGTTATAACAGTGATGGCCAAATGCCCAAACTGAGTGCCCAAACCAGGGGTGGATGGTCAGTGAGGGTGGGTGGCATAGATTCGCCACCACAAGAGTTACCATGTAGTTGGAATCCTCTCCAAACCCATTTGGAATGGAAATGGTACTGGTTTGCCTGGTAAATGATTTACATCTGGGAGTGAAAGGAAAAGATTTACCTCTGTTGTCTCTCTTGTACCTTTTTTTTACTGCTGTCCACAGTATCCTTTTGGACTATCTAGCTAATTCTGACTTACGAGGTATGTTAATGGTAGTGCTAGGCCTTCCTGGAGGATCAGTCCCATAATGTGTTGTTGAGGGATTTTTGCTCAGACCTGTAGATGGCTCTTGTTCCTCCTATTGTCAAACATGAAATCATAGGGGAAAAATGTCTGGAGGTTCATCATAGTGTTACCAGCATATGGAGCGGTTCACAGTTCTACTTCTCTCTCTCTTTTTTTTTTACCTGCTAGTGCCAGGAACATCGCTGAATTTGCAGCAGATTTCTGGAGGCAATTTAGATGCAAATGAGAGCAAATAATGTACCACTTAAATTAGATAAAACATGTAGGAAACCAGCTGATCAGGATGGAACTGTTCAGCTAATAACTGCAGCTTGAGCTTCCTGTGGACACATCACTGTTGGTCAAAATGCAAGTAATATCAGTGGCTAAGAGTTGCTTTGACCAGTTTTAGGTTGGATGCAACTGGTATACCAAATTTTGATCAAAGAGGCTTGTACACTGGCAGTCTTCTGAGTAAACAGTTGTAATGCACACTCAGTGGGGCTGCCTTTAAAAATAGTTCAGAAACTTCAACTTGAACAAAATGTGACCATGCTAGCTGTAATGGCAGTGAAGATAATGTTACATAATACTATATCTGCTTGCATTGGTTGTGATATTTTTGTAGCCGAAGCATATTCTGATGCTGATGTTTAAAAGCCATCAACCAACCTGCCCTTCGTTCTCCAGATGTTTTTGGACCACATTAGGTTCAACCATTAACAGTGCCGGATGAGCAGGTTGGTAGTTGCAGACAATCAGAGGATTGAAAGGAATTGCCTATACCTATATAAATCTGTCTGTTGACCTACCTGCATGATCATGGTGGTTGATGGACAAAAAAGGATTGAGCCCTTTTGCTGGTACCTTGTTTTTTTGTAGAATCTTGCAATTTTTCACATCTGCTGCAAATAAGGTTTGAAAATTATTTATTTCAAATCAAGGTATTGCAGCACTGCTTTTTTTTGTATCACTTCCCTGACATGGTGTTATGCTGCTGCTGTTTTTAAAGGTTATTTTATGGTAATTTTGATGTCAGTTTTGTGATTCTGAACACAGGCAGCACACAAATTACAAGCTAGATAGGTTCTGTAGGTTTGTTCTGAAGTTGTATTTGTTTGTAATTTGGAACAGGAACATTTTTAAAATGTAATGTACAGTGTGTGTGAGAGAGTGTACATATGCATACATATGTGTTCTTTGGACAGCATAGGGAAGGGTTAACATCCCTGTGGTGTGTGTTTTGCTGTCTGTGCTCCTGTTCAGAAGATTTCACCTCGTTTTCTGTGCCTGTAATAATTGAATTGTGAAAAATTTGGCTTCTTGTGGAAACAAGGATTGGTAGTAAAGCTTCAGTTGATACACCTTTACTCCATGATAACTCATAGAGTGAAAGTCCCTTCTAAGGGGTAGATTTATCTTACTTCCAGTTGTCTCACCCCTGTTCTTAACTATGAGTCATTTGTAAGTTGGATGTTTGTAACTCAGGGACTGCCTGTAATATATTTTTATGTAAGCTGCTTTATGAAGACTGGTTGAAAGTCAAGCTCTGTTTACAAGAATCTGAAAAATCATTAGTGCCTTCAGGAACATTATTTATGTTCCCTGTGTGTGAAGAGGGAAACAGTATCAATGGAAACAGATTCCATAGGGAACCCATTAATACCAGTGTTTACTCTAGGATATATCCTAAGCTCCATAGGTTATACCTGTTACATGTTGGCAGTTCCTGGGGTTAAACTGGGGAAATTAATGATAAATCAGGAAAGTTCTGAATTCTCAGCAGTGATAAAAGGAAACACTTTGTTTTCCAAAGTATTCATTGAAAGTTAAACAAGTCTTGGTTTGAATTGTGGCTTTTGATACACAATATCTCTTGAAGGATTTGAATTCTAACTTAGATGCTCTGTATTTTTTATTAGTAGTTATTAGAGAGTCAATAAGAATAGTGGTTGGAGTATGACCCTGAAGACCAGGGTTTAACTCCTTCTCCCAAGTAAAATCCCAGCAAATGATCAGGGGGATTACACTCCCCCTGATAACACATGTCCACAGTCTGGGGGCCCTCCTGGACTCAGCACTGATGCTTGATGCTCAGGTATTAGCAGGAGGGCTTTCACACAGTTAAAGCTTGTGTGCCAGCTGCAACCGTACCTCAAGAAGCCTGACTGGGCCACGGTGGTCCATGCCTTAGTTACATCCAGATTAGATTATTGCAATGCACTCTGCATGGGACTGCCTTTGAAGATGACACTTGTGCAAAGATTGTCAGCCAGGCTTCTAACTGGAACTAATTATAGCGAGTGTAGGACACCTCTATTAAAGCAACTCCACTGGCTGCTGATCAGCTTCTGGTCCCAGTTCAAAGTACAAGTTATCACCTACAAAGCCCTAATTGGTGTGTGCCCTGCCTGTCTTTGTGACTGCATCTCCCCCTATGAACTGGTGCAGGCTTTAAGATCCGCTAGGGATGCCATTCTCTTGTTCCCACCACCGTCACAAGCACAGTTGGTGGGGACGAGGGAGAGGGCCTTCTTGGTAGTGGCCCTCTGACTTTGGAACTCCTTGCCCAAGGAGATTAAGCAAGCCTCCACACTGCCCACTTTTTGCAGGGAGTTGAAAACTTGGATGTTTCAGCAAGCATTTTGAGAATGATTAGCCCCACTTATAAATGCCCGGTCCCTAGGTAACCAGATAGGACCTTGCTCTCTTTACCCCACCCAATTCTACGGCCCTATAATTTGCTGTGTGCACTTTCCCATCCCAGCCCTTTTGATAGCCGGGTCATGCTCATTTTAATAGCCCTGGTTCCTGGATTTGGATTTGAGTATTGATTGGATGGAGTCTTAATGCTAACGTTTTATACTTCTATATCTATATGCTTCATTTTTATGGATATACTAGCTGTCCCCAGGCACACTTTGCTGTGGCCTCAGTCTGGTTCCTTCCTTCCTTGCCTCTTTCCTTCCTTATCCCCCCTTTTTCTGTCCCATCCACTTTATCTTCTTTCTTCCTTCTCTACCTCTTCCATTCCTTCCTTCCCTCTTTCCCTCCCCCCTTCTCTCCATCCTTTCCTATGTCCATTTTCTTCCTTTCTCTCTTTCCTTGCTTCCTTCCTTCTTTCCTTCCTTCTTTCCTTCCTTTTCTCCTTCCTTCCTTCCCTCTTGCTTTCATTCCACTTTTTTCATTCCTTTCTCCTTCCTTCTTTCCCTTTTTCCTTCCTTCCCCATTTTTTCTTTCCTTTCATTTTTTCTCTCCTTTCTTACTTCTCTACCTCTTTCTTTCCTCTCAGAGCTGGTATGGCCAGCTCTTTCCCTTGCACAGGAGGGGGCGGGGTCAGGGGAGTTGTTTCCACGGATGCACTGTATCGTCATTTAGGTTTTTTTGGGTTTTAAGTGCTTTCCACTGTGTTTGTCAGTATTTTTGTTAGTGGTGGTCATTTTTTGGTCCATTAGGTGTCTTCTGGCCAAATTTTGTGTCATTTCGTCCTGTGATTTTTGAGTTATTTTAATCCTACAAACAAACAAACTTTACATTTTTATTTATATAGATGCTCCATTTGATTATGTCCCTATTTTAATTGTGTTTTTGTTTGTTAGATTGTTTGTTTATGGACATTTGGTCCCATGTAAGCTGACCTTCGGGGAGATGGTAGCGGGATATAAGAATAAAGTTGTTATTATTAAATGATCTTGGGTTAGTTCTACTCTCTCAGCCTTGGGAAGATTCAGAGGCAACCCCTTCTGGATAAATCTTGCCAAGGAAAACCTTTGATAGGATTGCCATTAAGTCAGACTTGAAGAAACACAACATTATTTTTATACCACTTAAATCATATTCAGCCAGGGAGAGGAAAAGCTAGGCTTTTTAAAAAAAATAATAATATAGAAATTAGATATTTAAATTTGACATGGGATTCTAAATGAGAGTTTGAAATTCTTTTAAATTAATGAAACAATACATATTTATATGTAATGTTAATAAAATTACAAAAAAAATCGTCCATCTCCTAGTGTAACTGTATGAATCCCCACTAGCATTTTGAAGGGCTCTGGAGTCATTTTTAATGCTCATTGGGCTGCAAGGGAAGCTGGAATTGCCTTCCATATGGGTCTATTGATGAAAGTATTTCACTAGACCAATATGATTTGCAAAAAAGTCACCTCAAGAAAAAGCATCACAGGGCCCTTGCACATCCAAATAACCCAGAATATCAACGCAGAAAATCCCATAATATCTGCTTTGAACTGGGATACCTGAGTCCACACTGCCATATATTCCAGTTCAAAGCAGAAAATGTGGGATTTTATTCAGCTGTGTGGAAGGGGCCTTAGATACTTCCTCATTTTGGCAATATTGTGATTGCTTCTGACTGCCTCTAAGGATCCTTCCTTACAGCTGAATAAAGCCCCACATTTTCTACTTTGAACTGAAATATATGGTAGTGTGATATCATATAATATATGATAACCCAGTTCAAAACAAATATTGTGGGATTTTCTGTCTCTGATATTGTGGCTGTGTGAAAGGGCTCTTCTACAGCTTTGGTAAAGCTGTATTGGGAAGCGTATTGTGGAGAAAGCGCAAAAAAGGAGAATAATTAAGGGCCTTGTCGAAGGCTTTCATGGCCGGGATCACTGGGTTGTTTCAGGTTTTTCCGGGCTATATGGCCATGTTCTGGAGGCAATTTTTCTCCTGACGTTTCGCCTGCATCTATGGCAAGCATCCTCAGAGGTAGTGAGGTCTGTTGGAAGTAGGAAAAATGGGTTTATATATCTGTGGAATGACCAGGGTAATGTTTCAGCTGCAAATCAAGGTGATCAGCTGAAACATTACCCTGGTCATTCCACAGATATATAAACCCATTTTCCTACTTCCAATAGACCTCACTACCTCTGAGGATGCTTGCCATAGATGCAGGTGAAACGTCAGGAGAAAAATTGCCTCCAGAACATGGCCATATAGCCCAGAAAAACCTACAACAACCCAATTAAGGGCCTTTCCAAACAGCCATATAACCCAGAATATCAAGGCAGATAATCTACAATATCTACTTTGAACTGGGTTATCTGTGTCCACACTGCTATATATCCCAGTTCAAACCAGAAAATGTGGGATTTTATTCAGCTGTATGGAAGGGGCCTGAGAAAACCTTGAAAGATGAAAGTGTTTTAGCTTATTAAGGGGAAAAAAGAATGCTAGCATGGGACACAAAAGAATCTTCTACTATTTTCAAATTTTAGGAGAATGAATAGAACTGTAAAGTAACACAGTGCATTTAAATGATAGTTGATTCAAAACAGACTGAAGGAAATCTTTTTGTTAGGTAATGGAATAGGTTGCCCCAATATGTGAAATCTAGTCCAAAGGCATATCATGTGCATACAGGTAACTGGTGGGGAAATAATATGGAGAGCTGTTCCTCCTCGTGGATTTCCAGGCTAAATCTTTTAAGAAAGACTGGCGTAGACCAGATGAGTCTTTGGTCTTATCCAGGAATATTCTTCTTAACTATTCATGTAACTAAGGGACCTTCCACACAGCCATATAACCCAGAATATCAAGGCAGAAAATCCCACAATATCTGCTTCGAACTGGGTTATCTGAGTCCACACTGTCATATATCCCAGTTCAAAGCAGAAAATGTGGGATTTTATTCAGCTGTGTGGAAGGGGCCTAAGAGTCCTACACATATTGAGAAGATATCGTGCATTTTATTCAAGAGGTAATTGCCAAGCCGTTTCCTCTTGTCCAGTCAAGTCAGTAAGCCCAAATTGCATCCTGACAATGATAGTTAGCAGGAAAAGTCTTTGCTCCGACAGCAGACAGGAATTTTGAGGGCACTGACCCTTCTAGCATGACAGAAGGAGCAGTGTTATTTGGAACTGTCTATCCTGGCATTTTGGATATCTAGCATGCACTCTTTTTGGATGGTAGCCAATTGCCTGTACACAGAAAGGACACTAAAATATTCCTCCCTCATATCTTCTCATTAGAGAATGGAGTACAGGTTCATTTTTCATGCAACAATTAGTCTTCTGTACCAGGAACCAGGATCTCTTTATTTCTCTGATTGAGAGGATCTCTGCACTGTGCTAACTGGTGCCCACTTGGTACTGGGATTGTGACTATTATATTTAACAGATTCACAGATTTTACATTTAAAACCTATTTTAGAGATGACTGATTTCAAACCTGTGTTAGAATTAAGGGTGGGGGCACTTACTTTAGCTTTCTTCTCATCATAGTGGAATCAGAATTTTGAGACTTTTTAATTTTATTGTTGGTTTCTAGTGGTAGGTACATGAATCTAGAAATTGTTTTTCCCACACCTTACTAAGTATTATAAAGTTCTTATAAAGGAATCCTGTATCTCTTTAAGGTGAAAAAAATTATTTCTCACAGACATTTTTGTGAACTCCAATCCTCTTCACCAAATGCTTTTGATGAAGTGGATTGGAATCCTTGAAAGTTGTGCTAGAAATGCCTTTTCTAATTCTCAAAGATTTTCTTATTCTTTCTTTATGTTGCAAAAGACTAATATGGAATAAGGATGCGTAAAGATATAAAATATTTTGGAATAAGGATGTAAAATAGTGTTGAGTGTGCTCTTAGCCAACAACAATTCAGAATGGCTTTGAATTGTGCCTTTATGTGAACTACTTGGAGTCCCCTTTGGGATCGGAAGAGTGAAATATAAATATGGTAAATAAATAAATAAATAAAATTACTCATTTTGGTAATGAAAAAACATTGTTTTTCAACATAGATGTTGAAAGCGTGATGAACAGCGTTGTGTCTTTGCTTCTTATTCTGGAACCTGACAAGCAAGAGGCTTTGATTGAAAGTCTATGTGAGAAACTGGTCAAATTTCGGGAAGGTGAACGTCCATCTCTCAGGCTCCAGCTGTAAGTGTCTTGTGTGGGTGAGATAAATGTCTCGTATCAGTCATTTTTATCTTGGAGAAAGATGATCTGTGATTTGGTATGGTATTCTGATCCTGGCAACTGCTCAGATCTGATAGTGCAACTATCCTGTATATAGTTGCATATATATGTGTCCTGTATATACTCATGTATAAGTCTTGAACTCATAGTAAAAAAAAGAAATCAACCCTGAAAAACCTGGATCAACTTATTCACGGTCCAATGTAGTATTGTAGTTTAACTCTTATCAAAAACCGTCCTCTCTGGGTAGAATAATGAAAAGTGAGAGCTTATTCCATTCTGGTAGAACATGAAAGAAACAATGGCACTCTCCTCTTCCCCTCATTTTAATCTTTTTGCTGTGATGCCACTTCTGGTCTTTGTGAATGCCTGGGCAGGAAAATGGCGGCAACGGCGTTAGGGGTGGCTGGTCCCCTGAGACTCTGCTGGTGCTTTCTCCTTTTTGCAGATTGACTCTTAGCTTATATATGGTACATAACAAACCTGCTAATTACTTATACATGAGGTCGATTTAAACACAAGCATTTGTGGTATGTTATATGTAAAGTGATAATAAAATCAATACTGTGGAACTCAAAAGTCTGAGAGTAGGTTTCAGCGATACAGATTTGATTCTAATACTGCCATAATCTGCTATTTTCATTTTCAAATGCTTATACTTATTTTGTTGGACTTTGCTTTATGGTTCTTTTTATATCTCTGATATGAAAATTAATGGATTTCATTACTGCTTAGGCTAAGCAATCTTTTCCATGGCATGGATAAGAACACCCCTGCAAGGTACACAGTGTACTGCAGCCTCCTCAAAGTAGCCTCCAGTTGCGGAGCGATACAGTACATTCCAACTGAACTGGAGCAGGTAAGCAGCTGGATAGTTTGCAAGATAAGAACAATCCCCGTTCAGTATAAAGGGCCCACAAATTATAACTTTTTTTAAAAAAAAATACATGTCTGGCATTCAGACTTTACTTCAACCAGCAGGAAGTTATCCGTTTCTGCTCTGCAGAAGGGAAGTGAGGAAATTAGTTTTGCCTGTTAATCCTGAAGCCCCTTGTATCCTCTGAAGATGGTTTCTAGGAGATACATTCAGCACAGTTTGAGTAATGTGCTAGAGATTACTAGTAGAAGCAATCAGCAAAGCTCCCTCCCACCCCATCCTTCCAGTGAAATGATACTGATGGATCCCAGGGAGACTACTTGTTCAGAGAAGGCACACTCTGTATTCTTTTGCTATTGGATGTAAGTCTGTTTGGTTTGCTCACCAGCATTCCAAAACACAGGGCATATCTGAGTGTCACATTAAGACAGATTTCCCTTCGATTTTTACTATGAACAAGCCAGAGAACTGGTGTGTACTAGCAATGGCTCCAACTGCTAGAAGAAATGCACTGTGAGTTTAATTGGTTTGATGTTTGAATCCAGCAAGAATGGTTGTTGATCATAGCAAGTAAAGAAACAGCCCCCAAGAAGAAACTAAAGGTTGTTTCTCTGATGTTTTGGAAGAGAAGCAAGTCATAGCACCAATTCCTACGTAGTTCAAATATCATGGTAGACAAACCACAGACTGAAGGTCAATGATTTATGAACCTGTTGTGACTTGAGAGCAGTCAGCAAGCCCACCTCCACCACAATTCGGATGCTGGATTGTAAGCTTTTTGTATTCTCTTAACTTAAAGTAGATACAGAAAACTCCACTAAGATTTTCTATCCATTAATTAGGGTGTTGTATTCACCTTCCCTTCCTCATTCCAGTCTCTGCAGTATTATATTCAGTTAACTTCATGTGCAATGTAATAGAAATTTTGTATTTTGAACATTGATGTGAACAAATCTGGTGCCGAAATACCCTAAAGCAGTGGTTCTCAACCTGTGGTTCTGCAGTTGTTTTGGACTACAACTCCCAGAAATCCCAGCCAGTTTACCAGCTGTTAGGATTTCTGGAAATTGAAGGCTAAAACACCTGATGATCCACAGGTTGAGAACCACTGCCTTAAAGACACAGATGCTGTTTGATCTTGAAAGCTAAACAGGGTATGCTCTGGTTAGTACTTGGATGGAAGACTGCAAATGAATGCCAAGTGCTATCAATGAAATTACAGAGGAAGGAACTTTCAGAAACACCACTGAGTATTCCTTGTCTAAAAAAACTACAAAATCCATGGGGTCATCATAGTTAATATATGACTTTAAGGCAGATACACACACACTACCAAAATCCTATACTGTTTAGTGAATTGTTAATTAATTGTCAACTTCTATTGTTTTGTGCTTTTTTTTCTTTGTGTATGGGATTTTTCCTTTAATATTGTGAAAGAGTTGTAAAAAGACTGTTGGCCAAAAGCCTAACAGAACAGTTTTCTAGTCCTACATTGTTGTGACCTGTTTTTAAAATGTTTGCAAGATAACTCTCTTGATTGCTAAAATGTACCTCTTTGTTTCCATTTTTTGTATAGGTTCGAAAATGGATTTCAGATTGGAATCTTACCACTGAAAAAAAGCATACTCTTCTTAGACTTCTGTATGATGTGTTAGTGGACTGCAAGAAAAGGTAAATGGGGCAATATACGATGAAAAAATATGATTTTTATTTTAACAGTTATATCTCATCTTTCAAATAGTATACACGACAGCATAATGTTTATCTTTCTGCCATGTTTTCAGATTTAAAATGATTAATTTCAGATTGACTGGACTACTTTTTTCCTTTTTGTTTTTAAGATAAAAGGAAGCATTTTCATGATATAATAATCAAGAATTTATTGATCAGTTCCATGTATCTTTAGTCTTATGTAATCACTTGAAGCTTGACAACAAAATTGTGTGGGTTTATAAATTTTGTAGCTTACAGAATTGTGTGATTTGTATACTAACAAACTCATAATTCTTTGGTCCAAATTAAAAGAGTCCAATGTACTTAGCCTACTTATTAATTCATTAGTCTGCTGATAGTGGCATAAATATCCATCAAAATACATTGTTGAAGTAACAATTTAATGGCAAAATTCCTAATGTGATGTACTAGTTAGAGCTTGGATTGGGTCTTAAGTAATCCACATTCTAGTTCCCACTAAGCCGAGAAACACATTGAATAATGTTTAAGTAGTCACTCTCTCCCAGTCTGACTTGTTTGGGTTAGGTGTAAGTGTGGGAGAGAACCATGAAATACCTTATAAATGTTAAAAAGTAGGCTGCTGAGTTTTCAGAAAGGCAAATCAGAACTTCTAAATAACATTCCCTTTAGAACTACATTCCTCACATTAGGCAGGAAAAAAGGGAAAGTATTTCCCCTTGGCCTGTTCTCTTGCCCATATTATCGAAGTGACTGAGGAAAGATAATGTATTTTTGAGTTCCTCCTAGATGGTGGGCATAGGCTGGTTTTCCAGTCACAAGTAATTGTGGAATAATTGGTCTTTAAGTGAATGGAGGGCCCAAAATTTGCCCTTCCCAGCTGTAGTAGACTTGCTGAATCTTTTCCCGAGTGTTATCTTACTAAGTTCCCATTAATTCAGAGGGTCCACTTTGGTTGGTGTAAGGAACTATTCCATGGGTCACTTTACACTCTACCCTGCACCCCTTCTTGACTTCACAATGCAGAAAATGGAAGTGACATGACAACTCTTCCAGTCTTGTGTTCGGCCATTTTTAAGAGATTGTAAAATTTTAGGCAGGACAGAAGGAGCAAAACCACTGAATTTCACAGCTGTTTGGGGCACTATTTGCATTTTTTGTGCACAAACAGCCTGAAAATATGTGGCCTCTGAGCCACATGTGAACATTTTCTCCATTTTTAAAATGTTTGTCTTAACAGTATAGTTTATCTCTTGGTGATAGGAGTTATACCATTTCTGTTGTTTTTAGATCATGGGTATAATCTTAAGAAATCCTTGGATTTGTACCTTAGGAGATTGGAGTACAGCTCTTCAGTAGAGAATTCTTTTTTTAAAAAACAAAAAAAACAAAACCCTGTCAGGGCATTTTTTTTTTTTAGGAAATAATTATGTGGCCCCAGTTCAGGCTGGCTTCAAGCCAGGGTACAGTACCAAAGCAGTCTTGATTGCTCTGACTCACTACCTACTCTAATGGAAATACTGGGGAGCACTCCCCTGTTTATCCTCTTGAACCTCTTTAATGGGCTTTGATACCATGTATCTTGGATCCATTCTGGCAGATGGCACCCGGAGCCACTGTTTTGCAAGTCATTTGTTTCTGTCTGCATGGTTGGTTCCAGAGAGTGGTATTGATGGAATCAGTCTTGGAGAGGTTTCATGGATGCTATAATGGACTAGATTAATTAAATTGAGACTGAATCCTGATAAGTGGAGAGACTATGGATTGGTGGTTCCTGAATCTAGAAATTGGGTAGGTTACCTGCCCTGGATGGTGTTGTACTCTCCCTGAATTAATGAGTGCATAGTCTGGGAATAGTCCTAGATCCATCCTTGTCAGGCCCAGATAGATTTGATGACTTGGGAGCAGCAACTTTCCTGTACAGTGACAACTCAGCAACAGTAATCCATGGATTGGTTATCTTCCTGGTTGGACTATTAGAATGTACTCTGCATAAGACTGCCCTTGAAGACTTGGACACTATAAATACTACAAAATGTAGTATCACGACTGCTCACTGGAAATCCATTCAGATATCATATAGCACTCCTTCATTGGCTTCTTCATTTAGAAACAAACTTCAACATTACTTTGCTTGTCAGTGAGTGTGTCCAGATGTCTTCTAGTAAATTGTGTAAAGGTGTGTCAATGTAAGAGAGAACTTTATGTAACTGACAGATAATTTATCCACTTAAAAATAGTAAAAGAATTAGGGAAGTCCACATTTTAATACACCAACTCGGATTAAATAATTACATATTCTTCATGAAACCAGTGTCAGCCAGAACTATCCTCCTGTTCTCAAGGGCAACTTGAATCACAGTTTCTTGATGCCTTTAATTATCTTTCTGAAGGAAAGTAGACTCATAGTTAAACAACACCGGTGGCAGGTGCCGGATAAATACACTTTTTTTGCTGATTACTTGAGAATTTCAGTAAACTGAAAATCTGCTGTGCTGTGTTTTCTCCCCACAGTGACAATGCAGCAAAAGTAATGGTGGAGTTACTGGGAAGTTACACAGAGGACAATGCCTCCCAGGCAAGAGTTGATGCCCACAGGTAATCCAAAATGAGTGAATGTCACTGAGGACCATATTCAGAATTACAGTGCAATGAAACAAATAACAGAGAAACCTAAATCTTTAAATGTATGTATAATTGGAATCACAGAATTGGAAAGACCACATGGACCATCTAGTCTGACCCCCTGCAGTTCAGGAAAAACAGAAAGTACCCCCAACAGAGGCCATCCAGCCTCTGTTTAAAAGCCTCCAAGGAAGGAGCTTCCACCACACTCTGAGGCAGAGCGGTCCACTGCTGAACTGCTCTTCCAGTCAAAAAGATCTTCCTAATACTCAGCCTACACAAAACAAGATTGCCTACATGAGGATATGGCAACAATTCTATATGGATTTCAGTGATCTAGAAAATGCCAACTTAGTGCATGGTTATAACCATTAATTTTTTACATGTTATTCAAAGCAGTTTAAATTTCTTTTCAACTATCAATCTGCTTTCTCAGTGTAAGAATTTCTGTTTGCATTACCATGGCAATACAGAATTAGAGCAATTGGTACATAATACTTTAGAGATGTAATTTAAAAAAAAAGGTTTCAACCAGAAGGAGGACTTTTTGGTACTTTTAAAAATATAATTTGTAGAACAGATAAGGAAAAACCTTTGTTTTTAAATAGAAACTTTTTATATAATCTAGAAATCAATATGTTGAATGCACTTATCTTTAACTAGGTGTATTGTCCGTGCACTAAAGGATCCAACTACCTTTCTTTTTGATCATCTTTTGGCCTTAAAACCAGTCAAATTTTTGGAAGGAGAACTTATTCATGATGTAAGTATCATTAAAAGTTTAAAACAGAACACTTGGGAATGGATCACTGTTACTATATGGTTGCTTAGTCACCACTGAGTTTTGAGCATATGTTATCTGTTCTGGATTGTGTCATTTGTAACAGTCATGTGTGAACATTGTATTAAGCCATAATTTGAGCAGTGAGCTCACAGGAATAAGATGCAATGAATCTTGTGCTTGCACATTCCCATGTGCCCACCTCACATGCCTACGAGTAGGATTTTGGAAATGTCCACTTCTGCTTCACTGTCAGTTGGCATGCAGTGAGATCAACCATTAACTACATATGTGAAAGTGTAAAGCTTCAAATATGCAAACACCATATTATAGCTGTCAAAGCTGACTTGCTTTAAACTTACCTTAGTTGAAATTGGGCCCCAGTTCCAAGTCAAATTTAAGCTGTGTTTAGTCAAAAACTAAAGTTTGTGAATTCTTTGTCCCAACATTGGCAGAGGAAGGAGTGTACTATCTAAGGCATGTTCATAGGAACTGTGATTTGGCACAGCATGTGAATTCAGCTAGTGTTTTTCCAATAAGATTTTAAAAATACGCTCCGGTGTCAGAAACACTTGGGTTATGCCAGGGTGCCTTTGACCTGTGTGTTAACTTGCAAAGAATGTTTAAATCAATGTTAGCACATAGTTTAAAGTAGATTTGAATGGTGCTTACTTCACTGGAGAATGAGAGCAGCCCCCCCCCCCCTTTTTTTTTTTTTTTTACTATTAAAAGGTAAGCTCAGTTTTGTTGCCACCATCACAGGCAGTCGTAAAATTACTCTTTAAAAAAACTAACCAAAGAGACCATTTGCAAAGTTGTGTCCCCATCAGCCCCAACATCACTTCCTTCCTTAAGTTTATATATTTCACAATTTTCCAGCTGATCATCAGAATTCCAGTTTGATTTCAGTTTTAGTTTATGGATTATTGTTGATTACATGGAAAGCCTCTCAATAAGGGAGCTTCCCCTTCTAAGACAAATCCTCTTTAGATTTTGATGATAATATTTCACCTCCTCATTCCTTTATTTAACATATATTCATAGTGTCTGCATGGGAATGTAAACCTTCGTATGAGTTCACAGTTCTTATAGAACACCTGAATAACCCAATTCAGATGGTCATCAGAACCAGGAATTGAGGAGTTCTGGTCCCCCAGATGTAAGACTTCAGCTGCCATAATCCCAGCCAGCTAGGCCACTAGTCAGGGCTGATTGGGGTTTTGGTTCAGAAGATGGAAATTCATCGTGCACCAGGGGAAAATCACTTCTGATTTTGAACCACAAGCATTCAACTGTGACCAATGATTATGAGGATCATTTCACTGTAATAGGTAGCTTTGTTATTTCTCATCTATTATTCGTTCTTCTGTTTCAAGGTAGACATGCTATGTTACTCTAGGTACAATTGGAGTACAGCTCCCATAAATCCTGATTATTAGTCATTCTAGCTGCGGCTAATGGATGTTGAAGTCCAATATAGCTGTAACTGAAAATGTGTGATGCCTATTGAATTTAAAAAGTTTTAATTCCTTCTCATATTATACCTGTAATTTTTTTCTTTTTAATATATAGCTGTTGACAATTTTTGTAAGTGCCAAGTTAGCATCCTATGTTCGGTTTTATCAGAACAACAAAGACTTCATTGACTCTCTTGGTAAGTTTTCTTTTAATTGAGCTTATGTCCAACCTCTTCTTTGGATATGAGTGAGATATCAACCTAGCACACAAGCGTGTCAGGAAAAAAAGAGTTAAGAAATCCTCCCATTGGTTCTGCACTATGGTCCAATGTAACAGCTACTCCCTGTCATTTAGGTAATCCAGTGTTTATCCATATCCCCCACCCGTGTGGTTTTGTCCACTTTTTAAATACCCTGTCGATTATAAGTCTTCTAGTTCTTTCACCCTTAGTTACCTTTTATGCTCTCCCTTAACATCAAGATGCCTTCAGTTCAGGAGATAGACTGGTTGCTGTATGATTCAGTTGTCTCCCTTTCCACATGAATCCAGATCCCACCTCAGTGTCATGCAGAGAGACTGGTATAGCATCAGTCGATTTTGCTGCGAACAAAACCCCAGTTGAACAGATACATTTAGGGTTTGGTACAGAATGTGTAAAGCTGTGACAAACTCAAATTAACTTTAATCTGCTCCCACAACTCTTCACTTTTAATTAGGTGAGCGCTTTTGTTTTGCTTTCAAGTTATGAAATTCCCTACCTAATGTCTTTGAACTGTGATCTCACATGATGCAAGGCCTTGATGAATTTGTATTAATACACAGAACAGTAAATTCTGTAATGTTGCTGCAATTGTAGACTCAAAATGCTTTGGTGAGAATTCAAGAATGTTGAAGAAATTCAAATGACATACTCTAAATTATCCATGTTGGGTGGGATGAGTGTGGTATTATTTTCCAAATATAGCACAACTCCCATATCCATGGGGGACACATTTCTGGACTTAGTGTGAAAAAAACAAAAACAAACCATGGACCTCACAACCTCTGAGGATGCCTGCCGTAGATGGAGGCAAAACATCAGGAGAGAATGCTTCTGGAACATGGCCACACAGCTCGGAAAACCTACAACAAGAATAGCAACCCATCTTGAAACAAACTATTTCTGGAAGAAGTATACCATATAATCAATTTGGAATACCTAGAAAATACTCTAGAGGGAACATATTTTTTTCAGATATGTGTTAATGAAATTATAGTACTGGATCCATGGATAGTACTGTAGTTAATGTAGTAATATAAAAACCTGCATCTATTACCACTTTTATATATGTATAGCCTTGGATCTTAGTATTGGTTACAGACTTGAGGACAAGATGCTGTTTCATGACTTAAAGTTTCAAGTAGAACTAGGGTGTAAATTAACAGAATCTTTCTAACAAGGATGAAGTGCAATAAGACTGTGTGCTTGTAAATGTTTTGTGCAAGCTTAATCTTTTTTTCCACCTAGCAGACTACATTCTCTCCCAGTTAATATGTTTCATAGGGTGAAGCTTTGTGATGGAATGTTAATGTCAGCGCCCTCTTTATTTACACACTGTGGAAAAAAGGAGTAGTAATTAACACTTAGGCACTCCCCCATTGATGTGTAATTGACTGTTTCAAAGGAGCACTGGTTCATAAGCTATTGCATGCATGAAAATTACTTTTTCTGTATTGCAGCATTTTAGGACAAGGGTCAGTGACAATGCAAAAATTGTTCAATGATGCAGGCTTTTATATTACTACATTAAGATTTAGATATAATGGTAATGAATAAGTGTTTCCATAAAAGATTTCTTTCAAAGCGATAACAATACAGACTGACTTAAGACATTAGAACAATAGTTTGTTAAACAAAAATAATTAAGACCCTCAACTAATACCTCTTATTTGTGAACTGCTGGAAATAGAATCTTGAAAATTAAAATTTACTGTTTCAGGTAAATATGATAGGTTATGCATAGACCGGCTCCACAGTAATGTTCCACTGGTAATAAAGAAAAGGAGCAGAACAGTGATTTTCATGTGTTCATCTTTCTTGCCATAGTCCCAATTCCACCTGAAAACCTGGTGTGTGCCTTCCACTCATCATCATCATCATCATCATCATTATATTTTATCCCACTTTTTCTCTTGTAAAAGAGACATAAGGTGGCCAAGAATTGTGAGAGATGGTGCTACAATTTGAAGGAATAAACAGAATACTGCTTTTTCAAGCAGGAAGTTTCTGTTTGAAAAAAGGCGTGTCTGAATCCAATGATTGTGTTAGCATGATAAACTGGAAAAAAGTGAATTTCTCTGTTGTTGTTTCTTTTTTAAAAAACTGTTTATGGTATCACTCTTTAGTTGAAAAGGTTTACTTAAAAATTTAGAACATCATAGCCATTATTGTTACACCTGTTAATTGTCCAGGTACTTTTAAAATACTCAGTAGTGAAGAGTTTTCTAATTGATTTGTGTATATTAAATTGTGTCCTGTTAAGTGCAGTCAAGTAAGGTTATTTCATTTTCCCCACAACATTGTTTGATCACCTGTCTGAATCCAATTTTAGCCAGACTAGGATTTTTAACTTTTATGTAAGGACACCCATGATATATGATTAATACTACCATTAAATAAAGGCCCTCCCTCCATCCCAGTTGCCACTATCCTGACCTTAGAGAGAGAAGAAGAGGTAATGTCTGATGGGCTTGACCCCCTTTCCACATGGCCATCTCCTTTTCCTTTTGCATCACTCTTCAATAAGATTGTACATCTGAGAACATTGAACTGTTTTGTGGTTCCTTTACTTATAAATTGCCGTTGACAATTATGGCGCTAAATAAATAGATGAGTATTTTTAATTCAAAAAATTAGTTATTTTATATTCTAGAGAAATTAATCTATTTCCATGTCCCTACTAGTCTTGTTTTTGTTAAATAATTAAGAAAATCCAATAAGCTATTGAGTCCTCTCTCTAAAGGCTTCGCCTTCTACAGGTGATATCAGTTTTACAATCTGGTTTTCATTAATGCTGACAAGTTAGGCCAACTGTTGTATCATCTGTCAACTGTGAATCGCCCTGCCATGTTCACATTTATATTGCGTAGTATGGGCAACCTTTTTACTTTAAAAGGGTAATTAACAGTTCATTTGCATTTGTTAATTAGAGTTTATGTACACTAATTGATTTTTGGTGCTTGTAGGTTTCCATTAAACCCAGTTAGATACAGTTCTGGAGCTCACTATTCGCTTGAATTATGGTGATCGCATTTTTGTTGAATCTGTGCCAGATAAATAGCCCGCTTCACAATTACTGCTAATTAACACAACATTATGCCTGGTAATAATGTGCTTCCTTGCTCTTCTATTAATGTAACAATGTTTTAATTCTATGTGTAAATATTTGGGCATTCAAAGTATACAATGCACATTCCTTTTCCCAGCATCCATAATACATGTCTTGTTTTATTCTGACTTTGTTCAAAGAACTTGCAAGCCAAAATGTAAAAATTAAAGTATGTAAGAATATACTCAACTGTAACAGATTCCCCCTTTCCCTGCAGCACCCCATGTAAATCCGTTCATGTGACTTGGTGTACATTTGGGGGTTCAGGGGCGAAGAGAGAAAAAAGGAAAGTCAGCATGAAAGAGGTCTGCTTGCACAACAGTGGATGGAACCTAGCTACACTTGCATAGCACTGATACATAGCATAATCTCTACTGAAATTTGTCTAACTCTCTACTGAAGTGCTCTACATACTTGAAATTGTAGAATCTAATATGATGGCGTTTTTAATTCCCTCTTCCATGTAAAATTTAGGATAAGTAAAGGTTGACAGTATTCCTTCCTGGCCTAAATGTTATCAGTCCGACTTTAAATATACCCATTGAAAAACCTGGCAAGTCAGCACTTGTGTGAGAACCATTGATTCATGGAGTATAACCTGTTTGGAACTAGATGTTGTATTTTGGCGTATTTGTTTTCTTCCAACAGGGCTCGTATTGTTCAGAATGCGGCAGCCAGGTTACTCACAAGAACGCCCATGAAATGCCATATAACAGCAGTGCTGCAACATTTACATTGGCTTCCAACTGAGTACCGTGGCCTGTATAAGATGCTAGTTCTGACCTTTAAAACTCTTTACGGCCAGGGTCCATCGTACCTTAGGGACCGCCTCTCCTTCTCCCAGCATCGGAGGACGCAAAGACCTGGCTTTTTACTAGAGCATTCGATCTCTGTTGATTTTTAATTTTTGTATGTATGTATTTTATCTTTTGTAATTTAGCTGTAAATCGCCTGGAGCATTCTCGGATGGAGGGCGATTAATAAGTTATTAAATAATGATGATGATGATGATGATGATGATGATGATGCTCCATGATGCATGACGTACATCTTCAGAGCACAGGTGTGAATTGCATGACCCATCAGATGTTGCTGGATTGCAATTAGCATCAGCACAGGAAGTAGTATAAAAGAATGCTGGGAGTTGCAATACAGAAAAATTCATAGGACTATGTAATTCCACCTCTGCACTGAAGTTGTTTGTTTCTGTTCTGTGCCTGGCTTTCTTATGGGGGGGGAGGGGGCTGCTTATTTTTCCTTCCACACTTGCAGTTCTTTCACACATACACATTTAATCCACTTTTCTAAGGCCCCAACCAGTAAGTCTTCATGTAATTTGGATTCTGATACTCCCCCCTTGTATCCCACATGCACCTCTGCATCCTTTTTTTACATTGTTAGTATTTCATTACCCAACCCATGTATGCTGCTTCAGCTCCATTCTCTCCTTCTCTCTTCCTCACATCCATCATCCACTTTTTTCTTCAATAACATTACTAGCTCAAGGGGAAAAACCAGACTGGCTTGTTTCAGAGCAATTTAATATTAGCCTTGAACAATAAACATCAGCAGGTAAAGCTTTCCATGGCACAGTGTTAGCATTATTGCATAGTAATGTTCCCATTTGAAACTGTCCTTTAAGCAGTTGTGAAGAGTTGAAAAACTGGCACCGTCTCCTCTTAGCCCTGTCTTTTGTGTCTCTCTTTGATTATTCTTTAGCTCTGTCCCCATCTAAGGTTCAGTCAGTTGCTTTTTTGTGTGCAATGTATATTGTTGAGTTTGGCACAAGCATGCTGTCCTTTCACTTTAAACAGCATATCATATGCTGAGGGAATTTGCCTGGCAAGTAGGCTGGTTATGACAAGATGGCTACAATAAATTGGAAAAAGAGTGACAGGGAGAGACATATCCTCAGGATGACATGGAGGAGCAACACACTTCGATTGAGCTTAACCCCCATATGTCAACCATTTCCCCTGTCATAGACCACAGGGAAAACAGAACATTGGCATATGTTCTTCCAGTTGTCCATACTTTCTAGAGCAGTGGTTCTCAACCTAGGGTCCCCAGATGTTTTTGGCCTTCATTTCCCAGAAATCCTAACAGCTGGTAAACTGGCTGGGATTTCTGGGAATTGTAGGCCAAAAACATCTGGGGACCCCAGGTTGAGAACCACTGTTCTAGAGCATTCCCCAGCTTCTGCTAACGTGTTGCAAAAGCTGCTCTGGAAGAGTCCCTGCTTGCCTTTAGTAAGCAGATAAAAAACATTCCTCTGCCATCAGGCATTTGTAAACTCACGAGTGAACTTTTAAACATGATATGATTAATTTTAAGGTGGATTAATATTTTAATGAATGTTTAATTGTTTCATTTTTATATTTATATGTATTCATGTTTAATTGATATTTTTGTATTTATTTTTCGCTGCTTTAAGTCCCTATTTCTGGAGAAAGATTGAATAAAAACAAATTAAATAAATAATTAACTGGTTTCAAACTGCATTCCTAACTCTTAAGTCCCTGGATGTCCAAGAGTGACTTCTGTTTGAATCTGGAGTATAGGGCTAGTGTAAATAAACCCACAGTCCTATTAAAAATTTTCATATTCCTGATCCTTAAAAATTATTGGATTTCTTGAAGCCTTGCTGTTGTTTTGCTGTTTAGGCAACTTAAGCAACTGGAACGTTAGGGAAATTCAATGTTCTAAGAGCATTACACTGATGTTAGAGTAGTGCTTGTATTTAAGATTGCAGAGACAGTGATGTGCAGTTTCTTGATCCCAGTGGCAGCATCTGTTTCAAAAAAATGTACTGTAATAAGTTTGAATTCTGCTGAATAACATTGTATAAAATAAATTATTATTAGGAACTTAAATATCAGTATTCCTGAATGCAGGGCTGTTGCATGAACAGAACATGGCCAAAATGAGGCTGCTCACCTTTATGGGAATGGCTGTAGAAAGCAAGGAAATCTCCTTTGACACCATGCAGCAGGAGCTTCAGATTGGAGCTGATGATGTGGAAGCATTTGTTATTGATGGTAGGACAGTTTGGTTTCTGATCTTATAAGCAGGCTTTTGTGAATTGTTTTACTGTATTAAAATACCACCACATTGCTTTGGATTTAAACATTTACAAGTACTTTACTGTAACTACATTTTAAACAGATTGTGCAGTTATCCAGAAAATCAGACAGACGTTCTCAATTGTCTTTTTGGACAGCTTTGTGAAATGTTAGGTATACATATTTTAATAACCTGCAATTTCCATATACTTATACAAAGCATTTATTCTGTTTTACAGTAGATGGCACTACCTAAGGCACATTAATAATTTCCTTGTAACCGCTTTTATACTTTCTAGATAACAAACTTTATGATAACAGAAAAGTTATACATGCACTAACTTACTTTCTGTAAACTATTATTTTGTTTTGCAGCTGTAAAAACAAAGATGGTGCATTGCAAAATTGACCAAACACAGAGAAAAGTAGTTGTCAGGTGAGCTTTAAATCTTTTTCTGTGGAGCAATGTAGTGCAGCACTAATTATAACACTTATACATCTGTTTAATATTTTAACTAGAAGTATGATATTCCTATCAGTTGCCTGTAGTTAAATAGTTGCTATTTATCATAATTTTATTAAAGCTCAGACTGAATGTGATTAGCTTATTTAATGAAAGAGTCATATTTTCCAGCACATTTCATTTAATGGCCAAACAGTGGCAAGAATACTAATGAGTATTGCCGGATGTTTTTAAGTGCTGATAAAGGCTGGAAAATACCAGCCCAGCTTTTATGTGGAGTAAAGATATTTCTTTGCATGTAAATTGTGTCCTACGTTTTTCTTAATTCTAAATAGGTAAATACACAAAATATAATAATTTTTGAAAGCAAACCTTTGATGGAATTGCCATATTTATATCCTCATCCTTTTTGTCTTAAATTTTAGTTGCAGCACACATCGGACCTTTGGAAAACAGCAATGGCAGCAGCTGTATGACACACTTAATTTCTGGAAGCAAAATTTGAATCAAGTGAAAAACAGTCTCCTTAGTTTGTCAGACACTTGATTCTTTTATCTATTTCCTGGCTTGCCGAAGATGGAAACACAGCTATAGTAAAATTTTCAGCTTTTTAAAATATGTCCTCAAAATATCAAATTTAATAATTTGAATGAAAAGGGGAAAGAAATAAAGTTGAAATTGGAATAAATATTGATTTCGTTCCATTTTTATAATCATGGATATTGTATGCTAATTAATTTGGGAAAAAGAAGAAGAAATAGGATTAAAAGCTGTTAATCCTAAAATCTGTAAAACTGTTCAATGGCCTCTACCTCAACAGTTAACTTTCAAACAAAATTTTCTAAGCTGCTCTTTTTTAAAAAAAAATGAAGTGCACAGAAGAACCACAGAGACACCACCTTATACTATCTTCTGTTTGCATGACTGGGTTGCACACATTTCAGAACACATTTAGAAACTATCACACTTCAGCTTTATCTGCTGTTGTTGCCTTTTCTGGATCTTCTGCATACTTTCTCTTTTTTGGCTTGCAGAGCGTTTCTGAATTTAGAAACCTTTCAATGTTGTTGATTTGTGTTTTTATGAAGACATTCTGTAAATTCCAGCCTTTTTCTTCAGCACCCAGTGAGTTTTCACTCAAAACAGAGCCTTTGACTTCAGAGGGCGGTTCAGAAGACTTGTCTTTTGGACCAGATAGGCATTCAGTGGAAGCCTAAAATATGCACATGGAATATTAAATGTGTAACTGTTCTTAGGATTTCAGGTTTTTTTTTAATCTTCTCAATAAAATTGAGAAGAAGTAACTGAATTAGTATTCCTAAAGATCAGTGCTTCTTCAGCTATTTTATGTAAGGAACTGGCACACACACCCACCACCGTAATTATTGATTACAACGGTTGCCTGAAAAATGAATAGTTCACACATTGGCATCAGTCCAGGAACTCATACTTTTAGTTCAACTGATCAAGAGTTAAGTGTAGCCCATGTGCACCAATATCATTTTGAGTTCCCAGCACCACAAGCATATGTTATTTTGCCATTTTAAATCATCCCTTGGGCTCTTTTAGGCCCAAAGTCTAAATTGGAATTTAACTTCCTGGTTTGAAAAAGACCTCTTCTGGGATGAAAACAGGTAGATAGGACAAATATCTCTTGCAAGCATGGGGTTTGCGTTTTTAAAAGTAACATTAACATTTTCAGGAAATGTAGTGCAGGAGTGGCAATCCTCTGAGGCCCTGCAAGGACCAGTTGCTTGCTCCTTCTCTAAATATGTTCAAAGCAATTGTACATTGAACATTATCCATAGTTTACAAAACAAAATTGTTGTTTATTTCCCAGGTGATTTTCAAGAGAGAAAAAAGAAAATGTAAACCTGTAGGCTGGCATTTTCCTCAGTACTTACAAGATTGTAAACCAGACTTGAAATCTTACAACTTTTGAGGTTAATGATTATGGTTAATAACCAAATGTGACCACAAACACCTACCTCTTAAGCCAAGCAGCACCCCATCCAAAGCATTTCCATCACCCTCTTGATCATTTAGGGCTCTTCCACACAGACATATAAACCAGAATATGTGCTTTGAACTGGAATATCTGAGTGCACACTGCCAGATAATCCAGTTCAATGTGGATTTTATACAACTGTGTGGAAGGGGCCCTAGAGCACCAATGACAGAAATCCAAAGATGGCACTCCAGCTGCATGTCATAGTGTGTGTGACTTGCAGCTGTGACCCCCAATCTGCAGCACTTTGGAAATCTTTTCGGTTATGGCACTGGAGACACACAATATTAATAATAATATTATAATAATAAACCTTTATTTGTACCCCGCTACCATCTCCCGAAGGACTCGGTGCAGCTTACAAGAGGCCAGGCCCAAATACAACAATAAAACAACAACAACACAATAACTCAAAAAAAACAAAGCAATAGCAAAGAATAGCAATACATTAACAACATCCAATGATGCAATTAAAATAATGGCCGGGCCAGATGTAATAATTAAAATTAAAAATGCTGGGCATGACAAGGGGTGTTTGGAGGGGGATGGGCATGCAGATACCCTGGATCTCTAATAAAGTGCGTTGGGACATAATGCTAGGAGTTTCCTTATTCTGGAAAGCCACACTGGAATAACCACGTTTTCAAGCTGTTGCCATAACTGGCAATGTGAGGTGTCTGAGATTTTTAAAAAATTAAACTCTTTGAAATACAATAATAAAATATATTTAAATACTATAAGAAAAACAGAAGTAATATGCAAAGATGTAAGAGACTTAAAGGATCTCAAGAGTAGCACAAAACAAGGGTTAAAATTCTATCTAAAAAGCTTGGCTTCCAAAAAAAAGCCAAAAGGAGGCACCACAAAAACAATTTTCCATAATGTACTGAAGAGCCAGCATGGTGTTGTGGTTCAAGAATTTGACTACAACTCTGGAGACCAGGGTTTGAATTCCTGCTCAACCATGGAAATCTACTGAGTGATTTTGGCCAAATTATAGTCTCAGTATCAGGAAGACGCAGGTAGCTCCGTTCAGAACAATTCTTGCCAAGAAAATCTTACACTAATTCGGTAGGTGCAATGTATTTTGTTATTGATGTTTGTAAAGTATGTAGATGCGATTATTAATGCACCCTTTTGAGATGTTTTTCTATAACACTCTGAAAATGCACTATTGGTCATTTAAAGAGGTGCCTTCCTCTCCAAAGCTTTTTCAAATGGACTACCCATCATCTTAGCCTTGCATAAAAAGGGGGAAAGACTCATAAAAGGGTTTCTGATCATTACCATCCTATAGAATGCTAAAACTGTGACTATAAATTGTCCTTGTGTGTAAGTCAAAAGCAGACTTTTGGCCAAAATTATGGATTTTACTTTAACCCAAGAATAAATTGAGTTAAATTTTGGAGCATATTTGTTGTTCATTCGTTCAGTCGTCTCCGACTCTTCGTGACCTCATGGACCAGCCCACGCCAGAGTTCCCTGTCGGCCGTCACCACCCCCAGCTCCTTCAAGGTCAGTCCAGTCACTTCAAGGATGCCATCCATCCATCTTGTCCTTGGTCGGCCCCTCTTCCTTTTGCCTTCCACTTTCCCCAGCATAATTGTCTTCTCTAGGAGCATATAGCAAAGCATATAGCATATATGCTTTGGAGCATATAGCAAAGAAGTATTTTCCTCTTCTTTAAAAAATGCATAAAGTAACATACTTAGAAATTACTAAAGAGGAGGATCTGTTCACATCGATACAGATACAAATAAGGAAAGGAATATAAGTGAGGAAAAAGATTGAGTGCAGCCTGAAAAAAGGAAGGGGAAGAGTGAGGAAAGCAACCTGCTTCTATTAGGGACCCAGCCTAAAGATGGTGACAAGAGGCAGAGATGAGAAGCTTCTACAAATCTCTCCCTCACCCAAACCATGAAAAAGCAGCCTTTACTCCTTCCCACATGTTTTTCAGCAATATGGGGGAATCCCTTTGGAGCAGAGGGGTGGCAGCAATTTTTAATAAGGGCTTTTTGCATAACATCTGCAGAGAGACTGACAGCCATTTTTAACGGGCTTACAGTAAGATCCTAGTAAAATGCCCATCAATCTGTTATCACCGCCTTCATTCTGCATCCCTACTGTAGCATCAACCTGTGTATAAATCAATGCAGGTTTTGGGGGTGAGTTCTTTTGTCAAAAAGGTCTGACTTATACATGGCAATTCACTTTACACTGTGTAGATAAATAATCCAGTCTTTTGTTTGCGGTGGAAATATGGAATATGGCTTACTCACTATAAATGAATTATCTATCATTATCCTCAAGTTTCTGAAATTCAATAGGAAATGTGAGGAGAGTAGAATCCCGAGGCAAGGATTAAAAAGCTGCTTCCCTGGCAATCATCCCCAACATTTTATGAGTGGAAAAGTTCAAGAAGCCCTGTTCGAAGATATGATTCCTCCAGAGGTTGGCCATAAAGTTGTTCTGGAAGACTTAGAAGTGCCGGAGAGGTGTTTTCTCAAGTACTTGAAGCAGCTACACCAGAAAGGTGATTAAGAGAGATGTCCTTAGTCCATTTTGTTTGCCGAAATGCAGGGAATTATGGGAACTATGGACTATCAGAACTGCACGTATTCTAACAGATCTATGGGGAATATACCCTTTCACATCTGTCTACTATTCCTGGCCAGATTCAGGGGATATAGGAAGTGGGAAAACAATAGTTCTGCTGCAAAAGCAGACACTTCCTTGCATAACATTAGATATCACTTTTTTTATTAGTGACTGAAAACAATTACAAAAATATAACACAGGCATGCATGTACACAGTCAATACAATTTTGATTACAGTGAAACTCACAGCATTTACTTTAAACCACAGTCATTAAGTAAATGCTATGAATTGCACTGTATTCTGTTTAGACCTGCACATTTTCTGTGTTCTAACAATGGGTGGAAAGTAAACAGAAGTAATGAAATACACTTGCATGTTCACTTTGTACATTTTTGTTAAGACCTAGTCTTGAATTCAAACAGACTGGCTAAGATCCATTTGATTTATACACTGTGACTTTTTCCTGCTGTTTTCCATCAACTTTAATTGTGAAAAATGTTGCCACATCTGCCCTCTTAATATTATTTTGGAGATCAAGCAAGTCTTAAAGCATCCAGATGCATACAATTCTACACATATCTCTGGAGTTAGCTCACTAAGGTCTGCTCTGCAATATTTTTAATTGACTTACGTGTTCTCTGGGAAAAGAAGGATCATAAAAAGTCTTTGCTGTTGCATTCCATTCTTCGCTGTGATTTCTCTTGGGACCTAGATTGATACTTCCGGTATTCAAAGTGTCAGCAACTCTGTTACTGTAGGTAGATTCTAACAAAGAGGAAATTACAACTGTAGTATTATTTTTCAGGTTCTAATTTTGTACTTTCTCAAAGTCTTGGTTTATCTCTGACCAGAGTAAATTGCTTGTATTAAACTGGATATTTGGACACAATTGTGTTTATATTTTAACATTTCATTTTGAAAAGAAAATTATCAAATAATATTGTTTCCTAACTTTTTCCTAAAGATTTAATTAAAGCAGCATATATGACAAATGTGAGGTATTTTACTTTATTTCAAATATTGATGCTATAGATGACTTACTATGACAAACCTCCCAAATTATGCAGGTCATTAACATTTG